AGCTGGAGGGAGGCTGGGAGGATGAGAGGGTGTGTACGGTGTAGAATGTTTTGTGCATGTAAATGAAATTCACCCAACATATTACATTTGCTTGTTCATATCGATCCTACCGACCTTCTTTACCTTTACTTGACTACCTCCTTTTGGAAGATAAATCTGCTCAATGGATATCATTCATTCAATTAAGACTGTTTTACTAATAAGTCACCTAATTTGGTGGGTTAACATTATCTCGTCCAGCCTTTTCATTCTAAGCGATACCTTCGGTATTTGCCCATTCAAATACAGCCTCAAAGGCAACAGAATTATCCTAAACAAATCAGTGGCTTATTAGGCGATTTATGCGCCTCTTCTGGGAACTTCACAAGCGCTGATGACGTCACCTCGGCTGGTGATGAAACGTTTGCAAACAAATTGCCAAGCTCAGTGAACAGGAGAAATGGAATTCAGTTCGCCCGATTTACGAGAACCGGTTTTCAACAATTTGTCAACGACTCATTTAGTTGCGGGCCGCGATTAGCGCGTCATAGTGCTAAGCAGAGAAACCAAATCGCATTATACAGCACCTCCACTGATGCCAGTTAAGTTTCGTGATTAACCCCAAGAACAGATGAGTTCTACTCTATAAACAATTGAATCGCTTCTGATCTCGTTGCAAGTGAGAATACCGTTCCAACTGGAACGTATTAATACGTGCGACTGTGGTGTAAGGTTTCTCAACTATCAAACTGCGAATCAAATTTTTGCATAAAATGGATCCAGCCAAAACCAGAGGTGTGGTTAGCATAATATTCAGAATTGCACGAATATTCTTCTCCATCAAGCTTTTATTGCATGAAAACGCTGCACCCCAGAGAACCACGACTGGTCTAGATCCGGTCAGAATCTCATCAACCACAGAACTGATGTTCGAAGGAGTCTGAGGATGTAGATGCAATGTACGAAGGTCTACTGTCTTCCCTACCGTAAAGTTAGTTCTTGGCTTCGATGCAACGTCTACGTTGGCGGAGGTGGGGCAGCACTTTAGGCCTGACCCGGCAGTAGGTAGTCTACAGACTGCATATTTGGTCTAATGGAAAAGTCCTGGTTGTTTTAGTAATGACACGAGCTTCCCATGGTTTCTCAAGTGCATTAATGCACTCCCCATTTAGACTCATACGAAATTTAGTACTAAACTCTCTGAAGGGAGTTCAGTTTCCTGGACTATCAGGCCGGAACGTCCCCAAAGGCATAAGGCTAGAGAGAACCAGTTATCAATTAAGGGACTCCCATTAGACATCATTATTTTATTCTGAAAAAGTGCTTGATCTATCACTTAAGTGATTATGTCAACTTATTTGTATATCGACTTACAAATCTGGGTTTCTGGCTGAATAGCAACCTCTCTGTTTTCCTCCCATAATCAGAAAGTCAGTAAATCTGCATTTCGTGCCTTAAACCTTATTATACGCTCTTTCCCGCGTAACCATCACGACGACACTGCACCTTGACGTGGTGTGATGGCTTGCGCGC